GCCATTTGTATCATCTCTACACCATTTTGTTTCCTATTTTTACATTCGTCAGGTTTAAGTAAAACACTGCATTACCAGTACAACTGGTTTAATATTTGCAAAACATACAAAATTACAAAATACAGATGCATACAAAAATATAAAATACAGGTGTAAAAAATACCATAGGAAACATTTGCCCAATTGCAAAACATATCAAAATATATAAACATGTACAAAACATTTTATTGGCCGCTGGTGCTTGGCTGCGAATCGTTCATGTCGTCATCTGAGGCAGCAGTTGGGGTTACCGGAGTTGGTTTTTTCATAAACATGGTGAGCTTTGTCTGAATTGTATGTTTTTTTGGTCATAAATTTAACGATACGGATGAAACACTTCGTGCACCATCCGTTCAATCCTTGCAAATCGTTCGATGTTTGGGTCCATTGCTTCCAAATGTATGAGAAGTTTATTCAGTAAAGATAAAGCGTTTGATAATCCCTTAGTGGTGAACTTTCTTTCTGGCTCTTCCTCTTCTTTCTCTGCTTCTCTTCTTTCTTCTTCTGCCACTCTTTCTTCTTCTAGTTCGATTAGCTCTTCATTTGTAGGTTCATCAACATTGAAAATCTGTTCTGCTAGATATCCCTCATCTGTAATTAATTCATCCAGACTATCAACAAACTTACATGCTCCTTCCTCATCCGCACTCGCTGCTTCTCCAGTCACTCGAACACTATGCATTTGGAATCTTTTCTTGAATCTCTGGAACCAGCCAGTGCTTGCTACAAATTCTTGATTGTAATCTTCTCCAGCACACTCCTTCAGAGTCTGAAATAGACTTCTTGCCTTCATCTGCACAGTAAAAAGACTTAATGGTGTCCCTTTTTGAATTTGATCTTCCATCCAAATATATAGCAATTTCTCCATTTCGTGGATGGGCCCGCTTCGTTGCTTTGTTATAACTGTTGATCACATGGGTGCAGAACCTTTCACAACTTCACGACTTCTTTATGTTTCAAAATCGTCGACACAGTGGAGTGTGATAACTTCGTATCACGTGCGATCACATTCACTTTCTTTCCTCCTTCATACTGCTTAATTACCTTCATTTTTGTGTCGAGATCGATGGCCTTTCTTTCCTTCTTGGCAGGCTGAGGCGTAGGCAAAGACAATTTCCTCTTGGTAGACATCTTGGGAGGGGTTTGATGAAAAATATCCAAGACACAAAACACAAATTGCTGTACCGAGTCTGGAATAACAGTTGAAATGGTGCACGTGGAGATGGTAGTGCTGCCGGAAGCTGGTCCGCACTGTCGTTCACCCAGCTGGGCAACGTTTGCGCTGCCAGACGCGGAGCAGTTGTGGCTAGCAATTGTGGTCATAAAGTCAAATGGTCGTAAGTTGCATAGGTCATAAGTCGATCAATACCTGTACTTCCAACCTATTTTTTCAGCCTCACTCATACCACTCCCATATATATATGAAATGTGTATATATATATATATGGGAGCCCCATTTTGTATATATATTCTTGCCATTTCCCAAATAGGGACACATCCTGTACTTTCTTGCCTCCTGGATCTATTAAGTTGATTTTTCCTATATTTCCCTTTTACCCCCTGAACCTTTCTGTCTTTTAATGCATGGATTTTGAATTCAGAGAGCCTATAAACTAAGAAAATAAATGCAGATTTTGTAGGCATTCTTACATACGTTTTTTCCAAGTAGAGAGTTCACAGTTTTCATTACATCCTCAAAAGGGTTGAATACTACTCAAAAGTTAAAGACTACTACTTTATTTTCTTCCACCTTCCTGAACTATACTTGTATTTTTGTTACAAATAGTCTTGTTTGGTGCATTAGTCTGTTCTCATGCTGCTGATAAAGGCATATCTGAGACTGGGTAATTTATAAAGAAAAACAGCCTTAATGGATTCATAGTTCCACATGTCTGGGGAGGCCTCACAATCATGGCAGAAGGCAAAAGGCACATCTTACATGGCAGCCAGCAAGAGAGAATGAAAGCCAGACAAAAGGGGAAACCCTTTATAAAGCCAGTAGATCTCGTGAGACTTACTCACTACCATTAGAACAGTATAGGAGAAACCACCCCCATGATTTAATTATCCTCCACTGTGGGTCCCTCCCACAACATGTTAGAATTATGGGAGCTACAATTCAAGATGAGATTTGGGTGGGGACACAGACAAACCATATCATTTGGGTAATTATGCATGTATTCATGTATATGACTGTATCCCTGTCTCTCTTACTGGAGCATAGTATCTGTTGGATTATGAAGAATTTTTGTAATCATGATCTTTTGCACATGACCTTATATATGACAGGCACACAGTTGCTATGTACTTTAAAAAAAAAAAAAAACCCATCCTTTAAAAACTGTAATCAGGGCTATGATCCTTTCAAGAGATTAGAATTCCCGTCAATGTATTTTTTAAATGATTATAATAAATACATGTTAACTTTTTGTATGCTTCTTGGTAGTTCTTATCAGTGAGGTGGCAATTAAATGTCCTGGTTATCCCACTGGACTAATTAATAAGCCTCAAAAAATTAATGAGTATTTGGAAGCCGATGGGTTTCCGAGTAGGCTCCAACATGCATGCTGAGGCTGGTGTCTTCCTTGTAGAAGAACTTAGTCTTTATTTCTTAGTTGTCCTGTCATTCCACGTTTCTTCCTTTGTGTTCCCTGGTCTCCACAAATTCAGCACAGGCCTAAGTCATTTAGGCAGAAGATTCCTAAAGCCCAAAGAAATAGCCCTTTTGTTACCTGTATTACAAAGTAACAACACAAAGAAGAACTAAAATTCTGAAGGTCCAAGGCATTCTAGAATGTCAGTATATCTATTCCTGGGGAATTCAGTTTCACCCACATATTTCCTTTCTCCTTTCCAAAGCTCTTAAAAAAACTGGCCAGAAACGAGAAGACCATTTCCTAAAAGCCCGGCCTTCTAGGGAATCATCTGGAAATCTAGGACCACCATAGAGTAACAGCTTCAGTAACAGCAGCTGACTTTTTTTTTTTTTTCCCAGAGAAGTGCTGGTTTACCCAACTGAAAGTGATTATTAACAAACCCAGAGCATGGACTTCTCCTTTAATGTTCCTCAGTAATTATGTATCTGCTAATTTACTTTTCATTTAAAATTATAATATCAAAAGTTATGGATATTTTATTTTTATTTAGTAGACTGAAATCTTACCTCAAATTCTTTGCACTCAAACTCTAAAGAAAATGTAGGTATTATGGCAAATGAGGGTTTTGAGCAAATTCTTCCTGTAAGTGAATTATAGTCACATGAATCCTTTTACTTGTTTTCTGCTCTGTTTTCTCTTTGAAAACAAAGCACTTATTGATCATCTTTTAAGAGATATTATACCGAAGTCCATTATAGTTTCACAGCTTAACATTTTGGTAAAATGTTTGTTTATTCATTACATTTACATTACTCTTTCTGTAATGTATCTCTTTTCATTGGTGCAATATCACTGTTTTCAAGTATAATGATAAACTGCATCCATTCTGGCAGAGAGAATGTTTTAGAAGCCAGTTTACTTTATTTTGTTATCCAAAAAATGTTAACAGTAGGATAAATTGTATTATATCTTCCTATGAATTAATTTAATATCTATTTTAAGATTTTTTTTTATGATTTCTTAACCTAACATACTCTTCTCAGTATTACGTTTTATTAACTCCAGGGAAGATTTAGCAATGTGGGAAAATAATGTAAAATAAAATTAAAGCTATTCCCAAGTCATTTAGAAAAAAATTAGATTTAATGTTGATATAGTTGATACTGAATGTTCTGTGTATAAAGTGTTTTATAAAGAAATTGAAAACTTGGTAGAAAGTTAAGACTTTGCTATGGATATTACAGTATTATTTTTCTTTGGGAGGGGGCAGTATGTTAAAATTTCAAGGCATTATCAGTTTCCATAACCAAAGTATAAGAAAATTAACTATGTTTTAAAGCTTTAAATATTTTTATAACAGCTTATACTGAATTGTTGATGTAATCAGCCTGTTAAAATAATTAAATCAGTTTTCTCTCTTAAATTGCATGGTGTGATTTTTTTTCTTTTGAGATTAGCTAATATTGATGATACAGCTCAGTACCCAAATACAAGGTGTTCAGTACCTGTTTTTAATGGAGCTTGCAGTACTACCAGGAGCTGAAAGATAGATAACTTTATCTATCCTCTTATATATGAGGTTATTTAGAATGTATCACATTTATCAATAACACCTGGTACTTAATTAGTAATTGCTCATGGTATACTGAGATTTCACGGAATAAAGCTGTTTCTGTGTCTGTCCCTTCTCTTTGTTGGCTCTGAATTATTTTCTCTCTTACATTCCATTTCTGCTATCATTTCTAATATTTCTGCCTCACCACCACATCCTAAAATATAATGTAGGGACCATCATTACCTCTTCATGTTTGTTCCTACTAATGACCCCCCTATTTCCAAATTTTAATACAGGATTAATGGAGAGATATATAGATTTAGTAACTTTTGGACATTAATGAAAGAATCTTTGTTCATTTGCATTAAAATGTTAATGCATATTAAACTCAGAATCTGCAGTATGATTTTCCTTTCATGACAGAATAGCACTAATATTTAATACTCTTTAGGTGGGAGACTATTTAGAAAGAGAATGGTTACTATCCCACACCCTTAACTATGAAAGTCAAGAATGTTTCTTCATAAGGAGAAGAATCCACTGGGGTTCCTGCTCCTCAGGTCTCCATTCTGATTATAATTATGGAATGTTCAAAAAATGTTTACTTTGTGAATGGGCTTATTGTTAGTGTGCATATTTTTATTCTCTGGAGGGTGGGGAAGAATGGGGGGAAACACATTAAGTGATAGCTGTTCATTAGCAACCATTGAAGAAGAAACTGAACTTTAAAGAATCTGTCAGAAATTCTCTGGTCAGCCTTTTATTACTATCTTGTCTTGAGCCCTTTTTTTAATGACATCTATTATCAGATTGAAATGGCGATTGAGACGCTGCAAAAGTCTGACGGTCTGTCCACTCACAGAAGCTCTCTTCTCAACAGCCATGTAAGTTGCCTCTTCTTCGTGTACACTAATCTCTTGCTTGTTCTGCATGTGTTGCTTGCCTCTAAATGCTTGTTTTATTTATTATTTATTTTGCTTCTTAACCTTCCTTTCTCAGCCCCTTATGATCTCTGTGTCATTTAATGGGTAATTTGTACAGTGAAATATCCAAAAAATAGTCTTCAGTATATTGCTTTATTAGGTTTCTGTACTCTTTGGGTACAGATATAATATTTTCAAGTTAGTAACAAGTTGCTGTGTATTTGTAAAAAGTAATCAATAGTAATTTTCAATATTTATAATGTTTTAGTTTGGTATTTATTTACTGTGAAGCAAATACTTGTAATCTGCATCTCTGTCCAACAGTCGTGTCTACTTGCCTGACCAGTAATATTCTTTAAGTAGAAAAAAGATTATTAATGTCAAATCCAATGATAAACTGTTTGAAAATTATTTGTTTGCCAGTAAGACTGTGTAAGGTGGTCAGTAAACAGCCCCATAGTTGAACTCGGGTCCTAAGACCTAAAGAGAAGTGAGAAGTGAACCAAAAGAAAAAGTGAGACTGTCGACCAGCCATAAATTGCTTGTAATTGAGCTTAAACAGAATTACCATTACTATTTCCTGAAGCTGTTCCCTGTTGTCAGATGCAGATATCACTGTGACACTGGTAAGTGTAAGAAGGGTGATGATAGCTTTGTGAAATTATAAACATTTTTACCTAAACTATTCACATTTGGGAAACCAATGAAAATGCTAATTAAAAATTTGTTTTGTTAAGATGATTTCTGAATATATGGAAAAAAGTAAATAGACCCATGATTTAAATTCTTTTTAGATAGACCGTCTGCTACCTTAACATTAGTGACATTTTAGTAAGAATTAGACTTTTCTCCCACAACTGACAATTTGTTCTTAAATTTAAGGATAAAGTATTATGACTTCTTTTTCATATTTTATAACCGAAAAGCTCAAAATTAGATCATCCAAATGAAAGTTTTTTAATAAACCTAAAACTTTTACTTGTAAAAAATGTTTTCACTGTGCTTTTAATAATGTTTTCATTTTTATATCCCAAAATAGTGCTAAATACCTCCTCATGTTCTTACACGTGTGTTTTTAGGTGGGGTATTTTGTCTTGTGTCTTTTTCAAAGGAAAGTATCATGGAAAACAAAACCACGTTACCCAACTTGGAGAATGCCCGTAATTTTGGTGAAAAATTATGTATAAACTTAAAGATAATAGCATATATTCTGGCCCTTTCTTTTGAAACAATTTAAGAAATACACATTTTTTTGTTTCTGAAAATTGGTATTTAGTATGTCACTCTTTTATGTTTCAGACGTATATTCCTGCTATGTTGGCATGAGTCTGTGGTTGTGTCAAAGGCTGATTTCCTGTATACTACTAGGCTGTGTGTGTGGGAAGGGTGATGATCAGCTGGTATTTATGCTTTGGAAATAGCAAGTAAAATTGTTTTCCCTTTTAGTCAGAAACGTGCATGGACATAGGAAAAAAAAAATGAAGTTTCTAGTTACCCTTTTCAACTTTCAGACTTCCACGTTGTGCTTTGATACTCAACTCAGAGTTCATTTTTACTTGACATGTATACTTTAATAAAATATATTATGTTTAATTTTAAATTTAACTTCAGTTATTCATCTTAATATTTTTGTGAACAATAATGGAGGTATAAGAACACATTTTTTATATATTTAAAAAATGTATTTGTTGATTCATTTGAAGCTTTTCAATTATGTTGGAGTTCTTTAAAAATTAGTTTTCTCTATAGAATTTATCAAGGAAGGCAATTAGCAAGTATTTATTGCAAAATACAGTTGCAAGAGAGAGGATTTTTGTGTGTTTTATTCACCAAGGCATCCCTAGCGGCTAGAACAGGGCCTGGTACATAGTAGATACTCACTAAATATTTGCTGAATGTATAAAAAGAAAAAATAGAAGGGAACAGGCCTTATGTCACCTTCATTATTTTGGAATTCTATGATGCCTTTGTCAATCGTGTACATTTATTTGGAGACTGATATATTCATTGTATTATTTCCTTCGTTTTCAAGTTTGCTTCAAGTAGGTGTATATTTGAACATTGTTGGTAAAGGGTGGTCTTTTTCTGGTATACCATCTGAGTAAAGAATATGTGGTCACTCTTATCATTTCTCTACAGGCAGCTTTCAGTTTAAGAGTAAATAACTGTTTTTCTGTCTAAACAATCTAATCTTTTAAAACATCCTGGGCAAGAGTGACATTGTTTGTCTCTTTCTATTTTAGAATGGTACGTTAGATTTGCTTTACAGAATTCCGTTAGTCTAATAATTTTTTATTTAAATATTTTTGTTTCTAATTTTTTTCATATATGAAGATGCTATAAGTTTCTGATGGATAGTCTGCCTAAATCAAGTTAGAATATCTAATTCTTTGTATTGCAGACTTAAGTTTATTTTATGCATTTTCTCAGTGTTAATGAATATAAATTAGTATTTTTTGGTTGTAATGTGTTCACTGTTTACAAACTACTTCTTTTAGATTGTAAATTTGAATTTGGAAATGTTGTTAATTGTCCCCAATAATCACATAAAATTTAAGGTTGTACATTTCTTTAAAATTTCATTTAAAGTTTACGAAAAGCTCTAGCCATCTATTTTAGGTACTTTTCACAATATAGCAAATAATTATTTCATGTTCTTTGCTGGTTGTAACTACCAAAATATATTCAGCTCAAAGCAAAGCCTTGTTTTTTACTCACTTTTCTTTGACTTTGCTGTATTATAAATATAAGTTATTACAGAAATAAAGCCTGTTAAAATGCATATCATTAGTAAACTGAACTTAAAATGAATCCTGATGGATAATAATCCATCTGGGAAAAAAATGCCAAATGTTACATTTAGATGTTAATTGGGCAGTGCAGTATTTATTTATTTTTATTTGTCAATCAGGATTTCCCTTTGGGAAAAATAGAAACCATTCATCATTAATCTATCTTGATTAACACAGATTAAATGCAAAGGTTGAAAGATGCAATTATCTTGGTTTCTACCCATAAATGAGTGTATAAGTTCATTATTAGAAAAAATCAAGTTTTAAAGATATAGGTTAAAAGTTCTTATGGTATTTTATAGGCTTTGAAATCATAAAAGTTAACAAACGTTTTACAAGACATTTTATGAAAAAGCAAAAGAAATAATAATTTATTTCTAAATTATTGGATGTTAAGATTGGGGAATACTAATGTTCAAATATATTGTATTAAAGACAAAACCCAAGGAAACAATATATAACAGGCATTAACTTCCTTTGGGTAGCTTATGGAACCTGTGCCTTTAGGTTGCACTTAAACTTATATGGAATCTTAACTGCCAAGTTACTCTTGCAATCAGAGTAATGCTTTCTAATACTATGTTTTAGACTCAAATGTCTGATTTATAATTTCATCACTGTGTCAAAATGTAAAAGTTAAATACTGGCATATAGGATGGAGATTATAATCCCCAGCCACATCTCAAACTCTTATCTAGTGGGTCCTTTTACATTAATTTCTATTAATACAGTGAATTTCTAGGAGATACAGCCTGAGATGGGGCAGTTGTTGGCAGTCTTCCTAGCTGGGACCTGCAGGGCTACAGCAAAGCCATATCTCCATCCTTTCAGGGCTTTTACCTCCGCTTGCCTTCCTTCTGCTCTCTCAATGAGCTCTCCAGGCTTCTGGCAAGGAATACTCTTCCTCCTTCTGCATATAAGGGGTAGGAAACGAAGCGTAGCTTTGCTGCTGTCAAAGTAATAGTCACCAAAATACCTGTTCTTGTACCATTTTTCAAACTAACCAGTGATTTATATAAATATACATGTATATGCATATATATAATAAACTGATTTTTAAAAACTAGTTTAGAAATGAAGAATTTAAACAGATTCTCTGCAGTTTAGAAATGTAAACTATATATGAAGAACAGTTTATAAAACTGCAGTTTTTTTGACTTGCCTAGCCATTTCAGAGGCCCGCATAGCCAATCCAGTAAAAACTTCACTTCCTGTAAATTATTCAATTGGGATATAAGTAATATCATTTAGGCTTCTAAGTAGTTTGTGCCAGCATTTCCTATAATTATCTCACTATTTGTATGAAAAGTTTTCTTTGTTAGGAGTGGTCTGATTAACCTATATATGTATATATATGTGTGTGTGTGTGTGTACCATTTGAGTCCAATGGTGTATTTGTACATATATATGTATAAATATATATATATATATATGTACAAATACACCATTGGACTCAAAATATTTTATGTTAAACTTTAATATTTATACTAGCTTTTCTTTTATAAAAGGTAATTTACCACAGTATTCTTCAAATATTCTATTAATAGATTTTCTTTTTCAAAGTTTATAGTAAAACTTTTAGTCTACAAGTTAATTTCTATGATCATGAAAAATAAGCTCTCATTTTTATATATTTATCTTCATTTTTAAGTAATTAAATGTTACAAGAAGACTAGTACACAAGTAGGGCAGTTTTAAAAATGTTTTATTTGTATCTGGTTAATTAAAATTATTTTCATTTGCTTTTATCAGATTAAAATTACATTAGCTCTGTTTTTATTATTTGAATACTTTTGGTTGTAAAGTTCATATTATAAAATTGACTAATTCCATTTCTGAAAAAAAATGCCCTTTAAGATTTTTCTACATAGTATGTCTTCTGTTCATTAGCAAAGGAAGCAATATTGATTTCTTGACTCAGAAGAAATCATAATATTATACCTTTGACAATATGCATAATTTTATGAGGATACGTAGATATACATACAAACATATCTTTGGCATTTTTAACTTACACATATTGTGTGTTCCATGTTTGTGGATGTGGAACCTTCATTAGTTTAGTTGAAAAATACTACTGTTTTTCAAAAAATATTTACATTTTTTATGTTTGCCTTTCCATAATTTTTTTCCTTGGTGTTTTCTTTATAGTCCTTAAAACCAAAAACCTATATGCCTTCCTTTAATAGATTAAGACTGCCAATAGAAGGTGGTCAACCCTTGCTCTGTCTAGTATGGGTACACAAAACAAGAACCAGCACTGTTGTACAATACGACTCACAAGGACAGCCATAACAATACTCAAGTGCTTCCTAATCAATCATTTTACCAAAGCATGTGAATGTAATATATGAATTAGGTTTTTATTGCTGCATTTTATATGTAGTCTCCCTCAGCTATACTCAAATCTTAAAATTTATAAAAAGAAAACCCACTAAAGAGACATGCTTTCCCAGTGTTATAGGCAAAATACTAACTTGAACCTTAGTAACTTAATTTCCCAATCAGGCTGCCTTATGTCTTTTACACTAAATGAATATGTGTAGTAAACCTATTCTGTGTGTCATTTAGAATACTCAGAAATCATGTTTAAGCACCTGTGGAAAACTTCTTTACTGACAATCAGGTTAGAGATGATTCATATTAAAAGAATTCTTTTGGCCGGTAATACTTTTATGTCATTGTAAAAATGAATGTTTATTTTGTGTCATCTTTTTAAACTTTTATAGGTCAGTCTTGAATATGTAAAGAGGTACGATGTATGTTTAAATGTTCATATTCATTCACATATGTGCCCTGTTAAGTACTTCAGGTCTTTCTGATAAAACTCTGAATTTTATTTTTAAAAGTACTCTGGTTCAACTTGTAGCTTTGGTAGCTATATTTTCTAAACCAACAATCAATATGGGTTTAATGACATAAGTTTAATTACATAAACATCATGTAGGAATATTTGACATTAAAGTAGCTTTTGGAAATTCAGTTGTCATGACTAAAGTCAATAATTCTGAAAATATTTAATGAATTTTAAAATTAAAAGGCTTCTATAATTTATATTTAACTTGAATTGTATGTTAAATGTCAGCTCTTTATTATACCTATCTTATATATGGCATGAAAATTTTGTTGAGACAAGTAATGTGAAATATTTACTGCTTTTGTGAAACATTGGTCTGGAATAATCAGGAAATATGAATTGGAAACCAGACTCAGTCATTGAGACAATGTGTGACTTTGAGAAAGTCATTTAAGTCTATTTCAGTTCTCCTAATGATAAATAAATGAACAAAAAAATTTAATTTTGCTAATATTGAAATTCAATAATATAGACCTGAGTTTGATTTTCTAAAATTTTCTTGTACATTCAGTGCTTTAAATATTTTTTTTAATGTACACAGGACAACATAAAACTTTAAAATGTGAATATAGACTGAAAAAGTATTGCATTGCCAAGTAACAAAATTATGAAGAAACACAGTTTTGAGGCAGAAAAATTCAAATGGTTGTAATAAATGTTTCCTTTTCATTGTGTATAAACTCTTTGCCAATTTCTAGTCAGTTTATTTTCATTTAGAGAAGAAATAGCTGAATTTTGTCCTTTTTGCTTTCAGAATCTGTCCTGGTAAACAATGTGGTTATTAGCTAGTGGTAATTTGAGATAAATAAATTAAAATTCTATCAAAATGAATATAACTTGAACATAAACACTCATACCAGGCAGCCTGCTGCTCATGTGTTATAACAAGCCAACACTAAAGACATACTATGTACCATGGTGCCAGGCTTGGTAGCATGTTTTGCTCGATAGTAGTTAAATTTCTGATACTTATGACCAGTTAATGGGATTATTTGAACTCCCTGAAGAGATGTCTATTTCCAAAATTGCAATCAATACAGGGAAAGTTAGTATGTCTCTACATGTGCTTGAATATTTGAAGAAATGGATATTGTCTGAGATCTTAGTGATGTTCAACTATTTACAATGTTTCTGAGTGTTTTCAAAGGCAGATTACCAGCCTCTGAATTGCAGCAGTTTACTCTGTCATAGGACTTGATGAAGAACATCTAAGAATTTCTGTATTTTGCATTTGCAGTGTCTTATAGAAATTTTGGCAAATTATGTGATTTATCTGTGTTTACTGTGTCTTATTTCCCTAGCTCCAGTGGCTGTTGGACAATTATGAGACAGCAGAAGGAGTGAGCCTTCCCAGAAGCACTCTATACAACCACTACCTTCGACACTGTCAGGAACACAAACTGGACCCAGTCAATGCTGCCTCTTTCGGAAAATTAATAAGGTCAATTTTTATGGGGCTACGAACCAGGAGATTGGGCACTAGGTTAGTACTGAAAAATAATACCATAAACTGATCTCTCTTTTCAAACTAGGGCAATTCAGTATTTTGTTTAAACAAAAGTACTTGATTACAGGCAATATATAAGGAAATACATAGAATGAGCTCAGTTTATAACATCCCCAGGAAAAGGAAAGGACATTATGCAGTGACTGTTTCCAAGCCAGAATTATATGTTGTCTAAAACATTAACTGAGCAAAGCTTTGAGAAGAGCTGATTCTCAAACTACGTAGAAATCAGCAGACCAACCTGTTAATGCAAGTTTTGCATATGGTGCTTTAAACACGCACACACACACACACACACACACACACACACAAACACACACAAACTGTATTCCTTTTTGAAAGAAAGCATACTAACGATGATGGATGATGAGTTAAGTGACATAATAAATGTAAAACTAGGTATCTCTTGACTTGCAAAATTGCATTTGTCTTTATAAATAACGCTGTTCAGATTAAGAAACTAAAATGAGTTTTTTATTTCATTTCTGGAGATGAATTAAAAATCCTTTGCTAAACTTGCAAAATATTGTTTAAATTCCTCAGTGATATGTTAGTTCTATTTTACCTCTTATTAGCCCCTACTTTTTCTTCTGTTCTTAATGTGAAACCGTATGTGTGTGGAAGTAAAAAGATTGTATACTTCAATTGAACTGAAATACTATGAAGAAAAAGCTTCTGGTTTTTCCTTTGTTGGAAATAAATATGAGTGTTTTCAGTAACCAAAATACGATGAAAAGAATACTTAGAACTGTAAGCTTCATTTTTGTCTTTCTGTATTTCTATAAATTATCATAAGATAAATAAGTAGCTGGACAGAGGATATGAATGTTTTAAATTTCCTGAATCTTATAGAAATCATATAAAAAGTTAAAATAGAGACACTATACTGTATAACATTAGGTGATATACCCTTAATTAGCTATAAAGCACAACTTCAGAGTATTCTAGTAAAGAGTTTCAATCTTAAACAAACACAGCGTTAGTAATTGACTTTATTAAAAATATATACCAAAAAGAGGAGTAAGTGTTACAGGGGAGAAAAGATTGATCTTTTTTTCACCTATCACACAACTCATGACTAGGACCCCTAAAACAAAAGATTAACAAGGGAAAAGCATATAATTTGTTTAATACAAGTTTTACATGACAGGGAGCCTTCAGAAATGAAGACCCAAAGAAACAGAGAGAACTGTATGTATTTTATGCAGTCTGATGAAGTAAATAGTTCTGGAGAAACATGATTGGACAGAAAGGGGTATGATCTAACGATTCTAATCTGAGGGAAACTCAGCAGGGTCTGTTTTGCTTTTGTTTTTGTTTTTGTTTTGTTTGAGATGGAGTCTCACTCTGTCACCCAGGCTGGAGTGCAGTGGCCGGATATTGGCTCACTGCAAACTCCACCTCCCAGATTCAAGCAATTCCCCTGCCTCAGCCTCCAAGTAGCCTGGATTATAGAAGCCCCCCCCCCCACCACACCCAGTGAATTTCTGTTATTTCCTCAAATGCCAAGGTACCATATTTTGGGATAGCATATCCTAAACGCCTTCACTGTGTCAATTCTATGAGATTTACCAGGTCTATATGTATTCAAAGCATGAATTATTGCTTTCCTGTTGCATTTTAAGTGACTATACATTTTAGATTGTCGAAGGTTTAGCTCTCTCATAAATATATTTCCTTCTTTCTATACTTCCAAAGATAGTGTATTTTAAAGTGAAAAATATGATTGTTACTCACACTAAAGGAATAGCTTTCATTCCCTTGAGAAAAGCTTTTTGTTTCTATAGTTTTTTTTTTTTTTTTTTCCCGGAACCACAGAAATCATTATTTGGGGACCTAACCTACTGTGTCCTAGCTGATGGCTCTGTAGTTACACATGCCATGCCAATATTTTGAAACTCTGGGCTTTATTCAACATTCTAATAGCTGTATTGTTGTGCTGCTTTTGTTACTGAAAGGGACTTCAATGGGTCCTATTTTGAGGCTCCATTCAAACTTTGAAACACATCTTTAAAATAGAAAGGGACAAATTTGGGGTTGTTTGGTTTTTTGAATGGGTAGAATCTATACTCTATAAGTACGTATTGCAATAACTGCAGCTTTTCCTTTCTAATGTTCTGGGTTCCTCCCACTCCCCACTCTGTAACAATTTATGTCTCCTATTTTTTTTAACCGTGTGTAGTGTTTGCAATTAGGTTTGTGAGGCAAAACCTAGAAAAATACTGAGAAAATAAGTACTATGGAGAAAGTTTAAACAAATGAAGTGTTATGAAGATCGAATTCCAATGCAGAGAAACTGACAGTGGTAGGAGTGAGGTACTAGACATTCTTTCTACCATAGAAACTGTTTAGCATTTACATTCTACTCCCAACCCAAGGAACAGAAGGAAAATTCAGATAAATCATGAGGCCAACTAAATAAAATACCCCTTTTAAAGAAAAGCGAACTATATGTAGAAGTATTACTATTAATATTGTCCATTAATAAAATAATCTGGTGAAACCACTCAAACCAGAAACAGATCCTTTCTAAAGTTTTTGGACCTAAGTAAACAAAAAGTAAATCAAATCACTGTTTTAAACAAAGGCAAATAAATAGGTACCTTTTGTTAGATCCCATTTCCAAATTAAGTTTGTGTAAAGAAGACCATGGAGGAAACTCAGCAAGGCCTGTTTTGTTTTTGTTTCTCTCAACCATTCCCAGTGAAATAAAAAGAACCTCTCCCTCCCAACCCAACTAAAATGTTAATTTGTAGGGAACCAAAAATAAACTAGGCACCCCATCTATTTGAGTTATCAAGAGAGACATCATTTTCCTCTGTAGTTTTTGTCTTGTAAGTAATGCCTCCTGCTTCCTACCCTACCTCTACTCCTTATTCTCCTCCAGTTTGTACAGAACAGTGCCATACATTGGGTATATGGTATTTTTGATTTTGCTTATTGCACTGTTCTGCAGTGGATTTTTGAGACAAGAAATAATCTCTGCAAGTGGAAGGCCTTTCTTTATGGGCATTACGTTTTTCTATCTGCTTTGCTGTGCTGAAAGCATGTAGGTGTTTCGATGCCCTGCTTTTTTTTTTAAACTAGCAGTATTATTTATATAATATGATTTTAATGTCTTTTCAAATATATACAAGGTTCATTTAATATGTTTTTAAATGTTGGAAGTACAATTCTGCTCTATTTTCATAAAAAATATTTAATCCACACTCTTCTCGCATTTCTTTTTGTAAATGAAAAAAAAAATTGGAAAAAGCACTGATGTATTGCTGTATATAGACTTGTGAAAAACTACTGTTTTCTCCTTGCAAGAATTTACATATTTAAAATGATATTTTTGCAAGAATTTGCAAATTCCATTTAGACCAAAACTTTATCATTTCTAATAGCAAACATGGTCTTTCTCATGAACATGGGGAAATTATGACATTTTAATTCCAGGTGGGAATTTGCCATTTTCACAGAGAAATTTCCCCATGTCTGTGTGACACATCTTTTTTAGCCTGCAAAGCTGATACAAATCCATAAAAACAGAAACTAATAAAATGTGTTTCAAAAATCAATAGATTTAAGGCTTACTTTGGTTTTGTGTTTCACAATATTAAATAAGTCTTTACTACTACATTTGTTTATTTTTATTTTTATTTTTTTTGAGACGGAGTTTCACTCTTGTTACCCAGGCTGGAGTGCAATGGTGCGATCTCGGCTCACCGCAACCTCCGCCTCCTGGGTTCAAGCAATTCTCCTGCCTCAGACTCCTGAGTAGCTGGGATTACAGGCACATGCCACCATGCCCAGCTAATTTTTTTGTATTTTTAGTAGAGACAGGGTTTCACCATGTTGACCAGGATGGTCTCGATCTCTCAACCTCATGATCCACCCGCCTCGGCCTCCCCAAGTGCTGGGATTACAGGCTTGAGCCACCGCGCCCAGCTACTACTACATTTTGTAACAAACAATAAAGTTATCTTACTTCATCATCACTGAAATAAAGAGAAAAATGTTGCACTTATCCAGGAAAGTGGAATTAAGATTTTTTCTTTCTTCTGTATAGACACTTTACAGTAAATACGTACTCCATTGACTAATTTTTATTGGCCTGTTATCCTGTTAACTAATTTTTACTGGCCAAAAACGTTTTTTCCTATCATTACCCTTCTCAATTAAAGTTAAAATAGAAATTAGAAAATGAAATGTAATTTGTATGAAACAAATGGACTGTTTGACTAATATTTAAGTGAAAGTTTATAAACAAATACCTTTAGTAGGGCCTTCAGCTGATGGATTTAGAAGCTTATTTTGATTCTTCCAATTTTATCACCACAAAAACATAAAAGTATTCAGAACAGGTATATCATAAATATGTAACATTAATATACTGCTTTTACCAAATTTTTCCAAGTGTAAAGTTTAATGGACATCCCATGTGATTAATGTTAGTTTGACTGACTTTTGTTTCTAATGTTTATTGTTCACTAATGAAGAGGAAACTCCAAGTACCACTACTACGGGATTCGTGTCAAGCCAGATTCCCCTCTTAATCGTCTGCAAGAAGACATGCAGTATATGGCTATGAGACAACAACCCATGCAGCAGAAACAAAGGTAGACTTTGGAGTTATCCTTGATATGTCCAAGCTATGTATTTCTTAGTTGTTTCGGTCTCCTTTTTTCTGAACAAATACCCAAGTACAAAAGAATGTTCTTATTATTGGCATGCTTTCACTATGGATAGTTCTTAAATATGATTTAGAATTTCAATGATCCTGCCTGTTTTCCAAATTTTTAAAAATTACTTATCAGTGAGCCTATTTGGCCCCTTTTAAGTTAAGTGTGACATCCCAAGCTGTTCAGACAGGGAAATGAAACACAAAACATACGGAGCATACCCAAGCAAATACCACATGGAGAAATTTGTTTCAGTATTCATGAGCTTCTGACTTGCTATTCTGCACGTCCCTCAGTCATTCTTTTTGACACAGTATGAATTCTTGCAGAATGTTTGGGATGTCTTACATTTGCTTTGAATCCAACTTTCATAGATAAAGAATTGCTGATATTAGAGTTGTAAGAGATCTCAAGCATTCCTGAATGAATGGATGGATGATGGATGATGGGTGGACATATGGACGAATGGATGGGTGGATGAATAGAATCATAGATCTTAGAATTGAAAGATACGTCAGTCTAGTCTGGCCTTACAACCTTGTGGCCATCAAAGCATTAATAGCCTCTGTTTTCAGATGAGTTCCAGAGACATCAAATGATATGCACAAGCCCGTAATAAAGTTGCATAGCCAGGAGCCTTCTAGTCCCATGTGACTTAAGTCACAATTTAGAGTAAATTTAAACAACAACAAAAAAAAATCCTTTTCTCTTTGCCAGCACAGCTTAACCATGACAGCAATTATGATTTTTCTTTTCAAGTGAGTGTGCAGAATCAGATAGAGAAAGGAGGACTCTGCATAGGTCCCAATGTGTTGATCTGTAGTGATTAGTTGCCTTGGCCAGTCTCCCCATTCATGCTAGTTCAGTCAGGAGCATTAACTCTAAGAAAATGTCGGTGAAAAGAATATATTACATAGTAATTTTATACTATTTAGTCAGCCAACATTGATTGAGTCTACTGTGTGTTAGGCCCTGCATGCAGAGATAAGACAGAGTTCCTATATGTGAAGAGTTAAGAAATTAGAAGGGGAGGCACATGGGGAATTGAAAAAAAGTAGGTGCAGTCTAGGAAGTGCTGAAATAAAACTTTGATCAAGTAACTATCACAATACAGAGGAATTTTCAGCAAACTCTGAGAGAAGGGGAGATTGGAAAGTTTCTAGAGAAATTGCTGTTTGAGTAGGAACTTAGAGTAGTCATAAAAAAGAAAAATATTGAAGTAGATGGAAAATGCACCTAGGGCTGAAGTCCATGATGTCTTTGGAAAATGGTCCATGATTTATTTGGTTAGGTTGGTATTATGGAAGGAGAATCAAGGAGTAGTTGAGTAGTTTAGCAGGAGATGAGATCTTAAAAGTAGTTTGGATCATATATTAAGGGATTTGCTTGTATATAAAGCTAATAAGTTTGTTCTTTGTGCAGAACATAGCTTTGAAGCTATGTAAGGCTTTGAAGCAAAACAATGAAACTTTGATTTTTTCTAGAGAGATGACTTTTTGATTTTGGGCAAGACATATTTAATGGAAAGAGACTGGAGGTAAGGATACTTGTTAAGTGGTTTTATAACACAGTCATAATTTTTAGTGTAAGTGTTCCAGACTGAAGACTCAGTTCAAGATTGGCTATTATATAAAAGGTATCTTAAAGATTTTAGATTTTTTAAATTACAGATTCTCAATCTTATTTCTTTAATTGCTGGTTCTTATTTTTTGATGTATAGTCAGTGAGAAATAAGAGGGGCTCTGAAAAAAATAATAAAATAAATTCTAGAATAGTACTTCATAGAGTTGGAGATAGTGTTTGTGTGAGTTGCAGTAAATTATTACTGTTTTGAGTTATGATTGTTTTTTGCATCTGTTAATGGCAGCACTTAATAGCCTTTACTTTCTGGTGTGATTTCTACACTAATGCATAGCAGCATTGCATAGTTGAGATGATGATGATATCAAGAAAAAGACGGTTTGCTTCAGAAATAACATATACTCAAACTTAAATATGAACAAAAGCTTAATAAATTGTACCTAAGACAGTTGAAGCCTATGATTTGACTGCAAGGAATTTCCTGTAATTTAACTGCAAGGAATTCTAGCAAACTTTCATAGAATTAGAAGCCTTCGAGGAACATTCTTTGTAAAAAAAACCTGAGTTACATAAGCAAGGCCCAGGACTTCCTGTGGTCTTCTCATGAAACATATTCTGTAAAGATAAGCAAGCCATAAAAACCCCTGCGTTCTCAGTACAGTGGTACTTGAGTTTGGAAACAGATAAAAGATGGAAGTATTTAAGAAATGATACAAAAATCTCAGTAGTATTAATAAATTAGGTTTAATACTTATTTCTTATGAAGTAAGAATATGAAAGAACCAAAGAAATACTGAAATTTCCTTTAATTTGTTGGCTTTTTTTGAAAAAATGATGCGTGTTTAGCATTATGGACAGTTCTTGAAATGATGTCTTGCTGATTGCAGCGTTAGTGTTGCCAATTGCATGGGCCTCTCTTTAGGGCAGCAGGGGTCTTCTGTTGTCTCTTTGAAGGAATCTGTCCACTGCCAACATTGATAAGCCTTAACTGAAACCAGTTACCCTATTGTGCAGAATCATTTAGACAGGAGAGGAGGAGTTTCTTTTCATGTGTGTGGAAATAGTCTAATTTAAGAGTGTTTGTTGAAAACAATGGGAAAATAACTTTTAAATAATTTATGGCTTAAAAACTTTTTTGAATGATTTCAAAATTCAAATGATTATACTGAGTATAGTAAAATTTACATAAAGTGATTGCCAGTGTCTTGTAAAAATACAAATGACATGTGAAATGTTTCAAGTATAAAATAACAGATATTTCAAAATATTCACATTATTTGAGTACTTCAAGGTTTATTGAATGCATCCATGTGTGCTTATCTTTCATAATGTAAGTTTATGTTTTATATGTTCTTATACTGAAGAAATGCAAGTGTATACAGTGATTATTTTGTTCATTAAATTGAAGTTTTAGAGCTCAATTTTTACATTATTCTCATGAATTTGGAATTATACTCAAGTGATAATAATGAGTATTGTTTTTATATAGCTCACAATTTCTTGAGCTTTTTTATATAAAGTTTCACTTGAAGCTTTGATAAGGTGGTAGAAGAAATCTTCATTTATCTATGAATCCAATTCCCAGCAATACCACTCTATGGAACATAGTCATGAGTCTGAACATAAATGTAAACAACTTCTGATTGGAAAGCAGATGTCACAGAGCCTACAGTTTCACTTAGTTGAAAAGATGAAGCCATTCTCACCATTTTACCTAAAATAAAGGAGATTAGAGCCCCCTTGATTCACAGGCAGTCATGAACTATGACAGCTGGCAAGAAATAAAAGTAGGCAGCATCTTCTATTTACTTTAAAGTTATTCAATACAGCAGTTTGTGGACACTCAGTGGAGGGGCACATGGACCTACGTATTCCAGTAAATACTTCAAATATCAGTGTAGTGACTAAAATGTAGTCTAACACAACATAATAACTGCTTTGCATGTTTATGGCATTACAGGCAATCAAGGAGAGGTAAAATACCATGGTTAAGGAGACAGAAAACCTTCTATTGAAAATACTTCATATGAAAATAATGTTTTTGCACTGGTATGAGGTATTCTTCAGTTTTTTACAAAATTCACTTGTGGACTAATTTGTTTACCCTAATTTGGATAATAAGTAAGGTTATTATAGAGCAAAAAGGACATCAGTAATTTCCATCTCTCCAAACTAAGTAAAATGTTTGCTGCAGTTTAGTTTCAATACATAAAAGAAGTATATAGAGAGTGTTGGCATGTAGATTTTAAATATTTTTCCAGATTCCAGTAGTAAAAGCCAAATGCTTTTGATAATATGCTTGGCTGCGTTTAATCCCAGTAGCCATTCTCAAAATATCAAATAACCGTTTACCATTTCTTCAACAAATACTTATCAATTGTTATTTGCATGCATAATCTGTCAATTACATCTAAAAAGATATAACACAGAATCATAGAATGTTGGAAATGGAAGAAAGATTCTAATGACTGTTTTTTTGGTTTTTGTTTGTTTGTTTGTTTGTTTGTTTGCCGTGCAGAAGCTGTGGAGTTTGATTAGGTCCCATTTGTCTGTTTTGGCTTTTGTTGCCAGTGCTTTTGGTGTTTTGGTCATGAAGTCCTTGCCTATGTCTATGTCCTGAATGGTTTTGCCGAGATTTTCTTCTAGGGTTTTTATGGTGTTAGGTCTTATGTTTAAGTCTTTAATTCATCTGGAGTTACTTTTAGTGTAAGGTGTCAGGAAGGGATCCAGTTTCTGCTTTATGTACATGACTTGCCAGTTTTTCCAACACCATTTATTAATCAGGAAATCCTTTCCCCATTGCTTGTTTTGGCAGGTTTGTCAAAGATCGGATGGTTTTAGATATATTGTGTTGCCTCCAAGGCTTCTGTTCTCTTCCATTGGTCTATATCTCTGTTTTGGTACCAGTACTATGCTGTTTTAATTACTATAGCCTTGTAGTATAGTTTGAAATCCAGTAGTGTGATGCCCCCCGCTATGTTCTTTTTGCTTAGAATTGACTTGGCTGTGTCAGCTCTCTTTTGGTTCCATATGAAATTTAAGGTGTTTTTTTTTTTCCAGTTCTATGAAGGTCATTGGTAGCTTGATGGGAATAGTGTTGAATCTGTAAATTACTTTGGGCAGTATGGCCATTTTCATGATACTGATTCTTCCTAACCATGAATGTGGAATGTTTCTCCATCTGTTTGTGTCCTCTCTTATTTTGTTGAGCAGTGGCTTGTAGTTCTCCTTGAAGAGGTCCTTTACATTCCTTGGTAGTTGTATTCCTAGGTATTTTATTCTCTTTGTAGCAATTGTGAATGGCAGTTCGTTCTTGATTTGGCTCTCTTTAAGTCTGTTATTGTTGTATAGGAATG